AAGAAAAATAATAATAGATTAACTTAAGACAGTTGCGCCTGCAGCTCGGAAATCTCAGTCATATCAGGCGCTTCGTACTTGGGCTCGACCACCATCACCTCACTGTTGGTATTATCCTGATCCTCAGTGGACGCCGGTGCTTCCGCCACACTCTGCGTATCCTGCGTCGTGTTCGTCACACTTGTAACACCCGCAGTCGCATTGGTCACATTATTAGCCGTCGGTGCATTGGTATTAGACGTCGCAGGTTTCGTCCGGCCGTATTTTTCATGAATATTACGATGGCGCTTCAGTGCGAATCTATCAGAGAAACCCACGCTGCAGATGTCACATTTAAAAGGTTTCTCACCGCTGTGGACCTAAAAATACACATAAAATTTATTAAATTACAATGAAAACATTATATGTAATAATATAATAAAACTTACCTTCGCGTGATTTTTAAGATGCGTCGCTTGATTGAAGCAACTTCCACAAATATCACACCGATAGGGTTTCTCTCCAGTATGAATCCGGCGATGGTTCCATAGCGTCGAATGCCGCGCGAAGCTTTTATCGCATACTTCACACACGTACGGCCGTTCCCCGGAGTGTATCCGCTCGTGATTCTTCAAATGCGGCGACTGTGAGAACTGCATACCGCACACATTACACCTGTATGGCTTCTCACCAGTGTGGATCCGTGAATGATTCTTCAAATACGCCGCCTTCGCGAATGCCAATCCACAGATATTACATTTGAAATTTTTCTCGCCTGAATGTAATCGTTTGTGGCTCCACAGCGAAGAATACCGGCTAAAACTACCATTGCAGATGTTGCAATGGAAAGGTTTCTCAACATTACTCTGTTGATTCTTCGACCCGCCAATGAAAATAATCCCCGAACCATTACACTTGGTGCATTTGGTTACAGAGGCAACACCGCGACGCTTCACAGGATGATGGTTCTTCACGCCGATTGGTATCGTATTCTGTGTACCAATACCAACATTACTCGCTGTTTGTGTTTGCGTCGCTGTAGTCTCTTCGAATTTCACAGTTGCATCCGCCGGTGCAGAAGCAACAACGAAAAT